TCTCCTTGCCAGTGATAGGTGAGGCTCCTGGGCACAATTAGTCCTTCCTTAATTCCTTGCTGATGTCAGCAGGAATTAATTACCAAATGTATCTCTATCTGTCTGTCTATACATATGTACACTGAATTAGAAGAGCACAGAGTTTCTCACTGGGCATTTTTGTCAGTCCCAGATATTTAACTTTTGTTCTGTCAGTAGTATTGACACAAGAAGGTGCTATAACCAGAGATTCAATATTTTAAGTGTGTGAGTGTGGATTAAACCCCAGTATAAACTACTAAGGCAATTGGGGCTTTAGTCAGGGGTGAAGACCTCGAATGAGCAGTAAAGGACTTTTTCTGACCCTATGTACTGAAATGTGGAACTCCACCTCACAGTCCATCAGTGTTCAGGTATGGCCAGTTATAGCCGAAAGGGCTACATGTTTCCTTATTATTTGAATAGGCAAGAGGCAGCTTTAGTGGCACCAAGATTGCATAGGCTGGGGGTTGACTTCCCAAAGACTAAGAGTGCTACGTAGCCTGTTCGCCTTCTGTGGAAGTGCTTAAGCTGGAGAGAGACAGCTTTCCCAAAGCTGTGATTCATTGTTAGGTCACTCTGGTGACTGATTGAAGTGGAACAATCAAGGCTCAGAATTGGAATTCTGAACACAAGCTTGTGTAGCTTCAGGAGCACAGGTTGAGAACTTTGTTGAAAAAATATAGGAATCCAAGTTCTTCTTCTGCTTAATTTGGCTTCACTGTTGTCTTAAGAATACTCATAGCAATGTCCCATGTATTCATCTTCATCACAGAGTGCCCTTAGTGTTCCTAACTCCTTGTGGTACAGTGACTGGATCTTTCTGGTCTTTGTCTTTACCCAGATCTTTGGGTAGGTCTTAGGGGCTCCTTGAAAAGTTAGAAACCCATATTTTTCTGGCTAGCCCCAGAGATGGAGACTCTGTTATGTCCTGATATGTACTTGATTGTAGAACTTTGCATTTGTTCAGAACACACATCTTACCATCATACTCCATCATATTTGGATACAACCCAGTCCTCTTTAAGCAGTTCTGTCTGGGTTACATTGTGATCACCTACCTCCAGGATCAGCTTCTGTAGTTTAGCTTTATCAACCTCTGTTACCACTTTCATTTCTGAAGTTGGGTGTAATGGAGTGATGTTGATGTCATCCTTTCCACAAGCCATCCTGTCTTGGGAATTGCTAAAGAAATGCTACTAATTGAAAATCAGGTCATGTCCCTTTAAGATTTCCTTCATCTTCAAGATCTTAAAAGGAATATACTCTGCTATAGGGTGATTTTTAGTCTAGTGATATTAAGTAGAGGAAATACCTTTGTGTGCTACAATCACCACAAAAAAGCTATAATTTTGGAAATTGATACATTCAAGGCATTACAGGCTATTGGTTACAATGCTGGAAACTGGAAGCAGAAGGGAGCAAAAACAAACCAGATCTTTTGGGAAGATGGGTCTTTAGTTGGGATTTGAGCTCTGTAGAAAATCCCATGGCTGGCAGATATAGTTAGAAAATACTAATTTCTCCAGTGCTAGCTTTTGTCCTCTGGTTCCCTCTTTGGCCACACCTTTCAGTGAATGCATGTAGTTAAGGGTAATAGTTTCCTTTCCAGGACATCCAGATGCATCATAGGTCTATTTAAATTCTATGCTTAGGGTTGAATATAGAATATAAATTCTACCTGATAAAGTAATACTCAGGCTTTTCTTTTTAGACTCTATAAAATGAGTGAACTTCATACTATACATCTGGCATCCAAAATGTATTTGGTACAGAGTTAAGAACTTCATAATGACATTAGCGTGGCTTATTACAAGCCCAGTATAATGAAGTCAATATAATAAAAGCAAAAGAAGAGGAAAATTTTCATGACCCTATTACTCATAAAAATATATAAAATCTATAATCATATCAGACAATTTATGCTTTGAAGCTTGACAGAAGTAGAACCATGATACATTATGACAAAAAGAGTCAGTTCACTAAGCACATAACGTTGCTAAATGTGTGTGATGTGTCACCATTACTCCATTTATAACAGCTTTAGAGACTAAAAAGATTTACAGGACTGAAATGGGTATGGACAGATTGTGTTCACAAATACCTTTCAGACTTTACTCTATTGTCTAAATAAAATAAAAGCAATAAAAGGAAGTAACTAGACCATGAATCATTCACCAATATGGGTCAAATCAAGAATTACAGAGCATCTCACCCAACAGTAGCATAATACTGTTTCTTCTTAAGTTTAGATGGAATACTTTATCAAATGTTATCATATTTGGAACCATAATACAAATTTTAGACATTTGAAGAGTTGAAAACTTACAAAAAATTTTTTCTTTAATAAGATCCCAAAATAGTTGGAATAAGTTTTCTACTCTGTGCTATTTATTAATGACCTAAGGGTCATAAAGGAAGTCTTAAGGAAAAGCATAAAATGTTTTGACATAACAAAATTGAAAAACTAAACCAGCAAAATTTATGACCTATAGCTGAAGCAATGCTTTGAATAAGGGGAATTACAACATACAGCTTATGTTTGTGTACCATGGGTATAGCTTGTGACAAATTTATGCTTAATATCTGAAAGTCTCTAGGGTTCATCCTTAGTTGTGCCTGAAGCAAAAACCAAAACAAAAAACAAAAAACAACAACAACAAAAAAGAAAAAAACATGTGATTTGATTTGCCTAGTCTATGAGGACAATATAGCACAAACTAGAAGGTTTAAATAACAAATGTCCTGTCTCACAGATCTCAAGCCCAGGCATGTGGGATCTGAGTGCTGACTAGGTTAGTACTTTCTGATAGATTTGAGGAAGTCTCTTCCAGGACCTTCTTCTTGGCTAGAGCTGGCTGTGTTTATGTCTGCATGGTACCTCTAGGTGTTCTGTGTTTTCTTCTTTATCAGGAGAAGTATAACAAACATCATATTGGATTAGGAATTGATTACCTTCCTTCAGGATGACCTCATTACTAACTAACTAATTAATGTCTTACTCCAAACAAACCCACATTTCAAGATCTTTCAGGTTAGAAGGTCAACAAACAGGAGAGTGGAGGACACAACCCAAGTCAGGAAATCTTATACCAGAATGGGAATCTCAAGTCAACAACCAAAGTTTCTACCTTAGGAAATTCCCAAAAGAAAACCAAAGGGAGACAATGAAAAAGCAAATATAATGGAAGAAATCAGATTAAAATCAGCAACAGTGAAGAATGTTCATGAAACCAAATTCTTGTTTTGAAAAGGTCAATGTAATTGAATCACCACTTTATATGGATCAAACAAACAAATAAACAAATAAACAGAGCATATGAATAACTATTGTCACAGATAAGAATCAATAACAATAGAGACCTCTCATACTGTAAAAGGATATTAAACTATTTAAAGCAAATGCACATTTAAATTGGACAGTTCAGACAAAGTGCTTTCATTTCTTAAAAGCTGTGATGTTTATATGATTCTCAACTAACTTGACAGGATCTAAGTTCAGCTTGCAGACAAATCTCTACGGAAGTCTGCTAGGGATGTCCTAGATTGAACTATTTGAGATGGGAAGATTCACCTTTAATGTGGGTGACATTGTCTCCTGGGCTGGGAGTGCCATGGAATCCAAGCAAGAAAGCAAGCTGACCACCAGTATTCATTTCTGTCTCCTTGAAGACTGTACATGTGGTACGACCAGTGCCTAACCTCCTGACACCATTCCTTCCCTTCTGTGATGAGCAGTACCCTCAAGCTGTGAGCCAAAAACAAGCAAGCAAACAAACAAACAAACAAACAACAACAAAACAGTCCCTTAAGGTGCCTTTTCTGGTCAAGTTATTGTCATTGCAATGAAGAAAGTGACTAACATGCTACTCAAACTCCAAAATAAACTAATAAAGAACTTAACTCTATTGAAGAAACTGAAATCGCAGTTAAAACAATAAATAAACAACATTTCAAAAATAGAAACTTCCTAGATCAACCGGTTTTGCCTATTGGTGGGGAGTTTCCCCTGAGGTCAAGACTTCTCTCAGGGTCAATTTATCTGTCAGATGCCGCCCCATTAGGCTCCACAGCCCCGGAGTTATGGAGTTACAGGGGACCCAGAAGGCTGCCCCCTGGTGGCAGGGAGGGAGAATCCATTCGCATAGAAACTTCATTCGGCTCCTTTCTTATGGTGCTCTATATACTGAGGACCTAGGAATTCTTTTTCCTGTGATGCTGAGCTGGCTACTAGGTACCCTATGGCTTCCTCCTGTATATGGCCTTCTGCTCAAAGATTCTTTTTAGAATGTGTAGATGGAGCATGTATATTCTTTGAGGTGTCTACACTCATGTGGGGACTCTAGAGGTGTCTACACTCTAGAGGGCAGGGGAGACTTTTGTGTCACGGCTGTGTGTTCTTAATGTGGAACCGCTGTAGAGCTTTAATGAGTTAAACTGAAATGACGAAGCCATCGCTCACTGTCTGTCTTGCCTGTGATGTGAATTTGATTCTTGGAAGAAACTGGATCAAGAAAGACACTTGAGCTTTTAATAATCAGAGCACTGCTGTAATCAATAGGCCCTTAGAAGACAATAAATTCAAGGACACCATATGAGAAAACTCAGGGTGGAATGTGCTTGCTCCATGCTGATGAAAATTCCCCATTTATCTTTCGAATTTAATTGAAATAACATTTTAAAGAATTGTCAGGCAAGCTTTGTTCTGTTCCTGTAACCCACAGCCATGGCTATTACTCAACTTCAGGATGAATTATTCCCAGCTTTCCCTTTGTCAGGGGAGAGAATACAGCAAACAAGCACGCTAATTATTTAAAGGAACCCTGGGGCCAATTAAGCTTTTTCTATTACTGCCATAAGAATGAGTGAAACAGGTGGAAAGTAATGTATGGACTGGAGGCATCCTTGAGTCTCCAGCAGGCCATGCTATAGATCTATAGATAGGATGTTTACTTCACATGCAAATTCAGTGATTAGAGAAGATGGGCAGTAGCTTGCAGCAGCAGCAGCAGCAGCAGCAAGCTCCTTGGCTTGCAGACTTTCTTAAGGAGGGTACATCAGTGCACCCACCTCACTGATGCAGTGACAACTTTCAGGATGTGGTCCTTAGTTCTGTTAATTCTTCCATTCAATAAGGCTGATGTCTACAACTCTAACAAGTGTTTATTGAAGAATTTAAATTGTGTGTGTGCATGTACATGTGAATACAGGTGTTCTGGGAGGCTAGTGGCATCAGATTCTCCTGGAGCTGCAGTTACAAGCAACTCCTGACTTGGTTACTGGGATTTGAACTCAGGTCTGTCTAGCCCCTGCCTACAAGTTTAATTTTTTTCATAATAGTTTTCAAGATGATAATAGGATTACATCATTTACCCCTCCTTCAAACCCTCCTGAGGTACCCTCCCTTGTTCCCTCTCAGACTCACAGTCCCTCTTTGTTAATTATATGAATATATAATTTTTTCTCTTTGCTATTATATGAATATATCCATACATATGATTCTAAATACATGAATACAACCTACTCAGACTGTACAATGTTAATTGTATGCATATGGTTTCAGGGCTGACCATTTTGAATTATGTACCCAATTGGTGTGTTCTTCTCTAGGGAGGACTATTACTCCTATTTACAATGAGACCACAACCTGCCTGCAACAATTTTTAAAATACCACTAACCATTAAACAGAGAACAGTGATATGAAATATATACAGGAATTAGATCATTGGAATCTTTTAGGTAAAAAAAAAAATCTTCTCTAAAATAAGACAAACAGAAGTATGGCGATGTGGTTCAATGGGTAAGAGCGCTTGCTGCTCTTCAAGAAGAGAAAAAGAAACACTTAAATGGTGGAGGCTTCTTCGAAGATTTTAATATTTAAATGTAACCATTAGCATAATTAGTGGATGAGCTATTCATTCATCTATTAAGGCCCTTATTCTGACTGTTTCCCTTACAGCGCACGTCTCTGTGCTCTCACCTCTGTATCCTCAGCAGACCTTTTGTGAATGTTTTCCCCCAGTGTCAATCTCTTAATTTTGATTCCTTGCCATATTTAAATAATCTCTTGCATCTCTTAGCTATGCTGTTATCTTTTAAAACCTCTAGTACTCCTTTTTAGGCATATGCTTCCTTTCATTGAAGCCACTTCCGGTATAGAGGAAACATATTTCTCTTTTCTTTTGAATTTTGTCTTCGATCCATATGCTTCTGCATACGGTTTGTCACTCTCCATTCTTGGGAGCATATGCTAAGCTGGCCCTCGGAGGTGTTCTTTGGGATGGACTGAGGTGGGATTGGATGGTGTGATGGTTGGAGATCTGTTCTTGTCATTCAGTTCACGCTACTGTAAACTGATCAGAGACCTGACCCCTTATTTGGGGGAGGGAGCTACTATAAGTGTGTCCACAGGGAGGCTTCCCATCTCCTGCATAAGAATGTGTGGCTTCAGGTCTAGCACCAGGATGGGTAGAGAACTGCTGTTCTACAGGCTGACTCCATCTCAGGTTTTCTTTTCTGCATCACTCTTCTGGACCTCATGCTTCATTCTCAAAGTCTATGCTGTTTTGGGACAAGACTTGAGAGAGTGAATATCTAGGCTTCTTCCAGGATGAGACAGGCATCTCTAGGGTCTCTGGGTGGGATAAGAGGACATAGGTTGTTTAAGCATTTAAATCCATTCTTTGTTGTTCAGTTCCAGCTTGCTTTTTTTTTTCCCCTTGGAAATGCCTTATTGAAAAATAAAATCTGTGTTCATCTGGGAACGAGTGGGCGTTCTTTCCATCTTCCATCAGCTCAGGTTTTATTCAGGGTCCTGTGTTCTGACGCATGAATACTTTCTATTCTTATTAATCTCTTTCTCTCCTTCCCTCTCCTCTTTCCCCTTCTCCCTTCCTGTTTCTCTTCTCCCTTCTCATCCCCTCCAAGCATGTCTCTGCCATTTTAATCAGACATGCAAATGATCAGAAACAATATCAAGATTATTTAATACACGACTTTAAAAAAAAAAAACAAAAAACACACAACCAAACATTATTTGAATCAGTGGATGCAAATAATTTCATTATTTCATCAAAAAACCCAAACATTAATTGAATCAGTGGAGTTTAGAAACATTTTAAAAATTGAAACAAAGTCTCAGACACCATAAAAATACAAGAAGTTTAAAACTAGTTTTTACAAACATTGTATTGTTTCTAAAAATACTCTAATGGAAATTTTTTCGCTCTTTTGAGCACCTCAAAATAAAGTTTGCTTTGGAAGAGTAGAAGGAAGCATCAGGGAGACATTTACTTCCTCAATTTACCCAGGTTGTACTCCATTGTTTTTCTTCATTTAAGCAAGAGACAAAACAGCCATTCATATATTCATATATCCATCAAAACAACCATTCTCAAATAATTCAGCACTCATAAATTCCTGAAACTTGGGCTCACTGTTTGCCTCAGGAGTAGTGAAGTTAGGACTTTGTGGCAGTTAGAATGATGCTGATAGGTTCCTGTGTTTGAATGAGCTTGGTCCCCAGTTGATGGAATTGTTTGCAAAAGGATTAGGGAGTGAGGAGGTCTTACTGGAGCCAGTGTGTCATTAGGAATAGCTTTGTGATTTCAAAAGCCCATGACATTCTCAGTTAGTGCTCTTTGCTTCATGGTTGTCTCAACATGTGAGCTCTCAGCTGCTGCCCAAGCACCATGTCTGCCTGCCTGCTGCCATGCTCCCCACTGCTGTGGTCATGGACACTAACCCTGGGGAACCACGAGCTCCAAAGGAAATATTCTCCTTTATAAGTTGCTTTGGTCATAGTGTCTTATCACAACAACAGAGAAGTAGCTAAGACAGATCACTATCCTCCTGAAATGAAACAGAGCAACTAGAGAAGGTTACGATGGGTGAGCAACGCAACAGTAGTTACTCAAGTGCATCGATGAGTAATCAAAATGTTGATTCCAGAGATCAGACCCAGTTTCAGCTTGTTGGATGCTAAAAGCAGAAGTTTGTTTTACCTCGGAGTTTCTGGCTCAACGTTGCTTTGCCCATACCGCATAGCTGAGCCTAGTTTGTCTTGGCCAGTTTCCCTACTTCCCACTAAGGGCTTCAGTGTGAGGTGCCCTAGGGACCTTGTTAATGCAGATCCTGATGGAGCAGGTCTTCAGAGGAGAGGAAAGATCTGCTAGCTAGGTCCCAGGGGATGACAATGTTCTAGCCCATGCACATTTCCCAGACCAGAGAAGTTTTCCATGACCTCACCAGTATCATGTAACACTCATCCACAGGGCGTTTCCAATATGTGTGAAAGATGAAATTACTTTTCCAAACAGTTTCAAGAGTTCTGTGCATTTGCCTCCTATAATATATACATATATCTCCTAAATGGAAGTGTAAATATTATGGAAGTTTTAAGGTATAAAGGGTAATATCCTGTCTTGCAAAGGCCCTCAGGGGAGCCTGACTGGAGAAGATCTTTGCATATGCAAAGAAAGATAAGATGTGAATATGTAAAACCTAGAGAAGTCTTCACAAGAAAGGACCATAACAATTACAGATATATTCCACATGTATGCCACTTATGGCTGGCACTATTTTGAACTTATATACATATTAGCCAATTGCATTACCAAAATAGCTCTATGTAACAAGGCTGTTGTTTTCAGTATTGTGTGTTGAACCTGGGGCCTTGCATTTGTGTGGCAAGCACTATATTGCTGTGCCACACTCCCAATATCATTTTAAAGTCTGACACTAAGCTTGTGATCCTCTTGCCCCAGCCAAGAGAAGTAGTACAGATGACAATTGTCCATCCTCATCATGCCTGGCAGGTACTTATGTTTATACAACATTTTCGTGGATAAGACTGATGAATCAGAGAGCATGGAGAAATTTGGAAACTGTCCTTCTCCAACATCATCCAGTTGATAAGTCATGGAGCTGATATTATATGCAGGAAGGCATCACTATGTTAGAACATTCCTCAACACTATATCAAAAGATATGAACTACGGGCTGCTTACAGGGTCCAGCCTCATCTACCTGGTGTGGTAGGAAGGATGCATCAAGTGGAGTGAGCAGTAGGACATGATGCTGGGAAAGGAGCCACTGCTGAGACACCAGGAACAATTCAGTAGATTACAAACATTTTCAATGCTGACTCTTGACTCCCTTGTGAGTTCTATGCAAATCCCACCCCTCCCTAATGATAAGCAGCCATCTTTTCCTATGAGAACAGTGATTTTTCGAAGAGATCTCCATGTCCAAAGTTCCCATCTTTTGTTACTTTAGCAGTGCTCAGTATTAACTAAATGGAAAGTCGAGGTTGCTACTGAACAGTATGTACTACTCGTATTTCTTTTTCTTTACTGTCTGGTGATTTCTACAACACACATACATACACACAGAAATGCACACATACAAGCAAACTAATCCCTACATATGTTGGATAGACTATGGGCAGAGGGAAAACAATTAAGGCTAGCCTTGCTGATGACACTACATAGGAAGCTTTGATAGAGACCTACAGGTACTACCTAGGACTAAAGAACTACCACTTAGTGCCAATACTAAATAGATAGCCTTTTGGGTAAAAAATTAAAAAGCTATCTACTTAAGGGGTGCTGCCACAGAGCACATGAGTACTCTTGATGCCTGAAGAAGTATAGGCTGGCCCCCTTACTTATTTGTCAGAGAGCTTTATAGCATAGTAGCTTTACTATTGCTGTGTTCTTTTCCTTACTTGCCACCCCAGCCTGACATCTGACACTCCACTGGGAATCTCAGCCAAGCAGCATCTGGCAGAGGCTCTCAGTCAGCCTCTGGTGGAAAGCGGAGAAGCTGCATTCCTTTGTGTTGCCCCTGATTGGAAATGGGTTCCTCCAAAGGCCTGCAAGGCCCAAGGATCTCTTTCTTCTTTATCACAGCAGCGGTGCAGAACTACACAGCAAACCTTGTCCTGTGTCCACTCTGCCAGCTTCATAATGATTCTCAGATCTTTTCTCATTGGAATGAGCTATGCTATCTATGTATGTACCAGCATGAGGATGTCCCGGTCACAATGCTT